CTATCTATTTATCAGATCCTGCGGCTGTGGTGCTGAGCTCAGTCTTGGCAGTAACTACAAATGATACAAAAAGAAAAAAAAATGTAGGAGAAAAGCCAGGTATACTGGAAATCTCTCAAATTTACTTAGAATTCAATAGATATTTTGTTTGTTTCTTTTTAGAGAGACTCAGATGTTAGATTTATCTTCAACTCTACGACGCTGAAAAGCTACTGATGGGAAAGACCACTACAGCAATCTCTTTGGCATTACATTTGGAAAAATTGCAAATGCAGAGCTAGATTATGCATCTTTTCTTTGCACATAAATTAAAGGGACCACTGCTGTTAGACTGTAAGCTCTTTGGGCAGGGGCTATTTTTGTTCTATTTGTATGGCCCCTAGCACAATGGGGTCCTGGTCCATGACTGGGGCTCCTACGTGCTGCCACACTACAAATAAATACAAATAATTTTTAAGACAGCCCTGGCAAAAATAGGAAATCAAATCCCCTCCTTCCAACCAAATTCCTCACAGGAAGCAAATTTGTCAGCGACTGAAATATAGGCAATCTCTTTACAAATAGTCTGAGAGTCAGTTTCTCAACCAACAAAAATTTGCAAGCTGACAGCAATCTTTTCAAGAAATCTACAAACTCTTATGAAACTGAAAAATAAACTGTTGTGTAATAACCACAAATTTGACACTGAGTTTTGTCATACTGTTTTCACAAAAGCAAGTTCCAAGAGTTTCATCCAGCTCCTTTCTCCTATAAACTCCTTCTCAAAGCCAACCAAGAAGCCTTAAAGGTTTTGCATATTCTCACTGAGAAGACCAGATAGATTCTGCTGAATTTAAAGGTAGTTATGAGAACTCTGGCCCATAAAGAAATACTATATAACACTATTACATCCTATTCTTTTTCTAAGCAGCCTGCCTCAATCTTAGGAGGGGGAGTCTTATTCCTGCAACTCAAAATCTGATCACATTTTAAAAAGAAACTTCTGTCTTATGCCTCATTAGTAATTTAGGAACAAGTATGTTCTATTGGAACTATACCTAATCAATTGATATTCTCTCACGGTAGGTAGCTTCCTAGAGACTTCATCATTTGGGGCCTGTCACTGGATGCACCACTCACTGCTGAGCTGGTGACTCCTCCTGGTCACTCTGGGGATTAGTTCTCAAGGCCAACGGCCCCATCTCATATGACTGACATCACATGGGAGCAGAACTGAGGTTTCTCAGTTGTCCTAACAACTTACTTTTTGTAGGGTCACTAACCACTATCTGACAGTTACATTTTTTGTCGGTGCCATCCAATTCTGGATTCATATCACTGAACTAAACCAAAGGGTTTCATATCCCATTACCAATACCCAGAGCTCTTCAGTTACCCCACTTCTTCCATTTGGTGCTTATGTAAAATGGAAAGTGTGCTGACTCTTCATATAAACTCCACAAGCCCTTAGATTCTGCCATGATGGGCGAGCTGCCAGTATGACAGATTAGAGAGATACATTTCATATCTACGTAAAATGTCCTTGCGGGGGATGGATGAGTCAAAGAAACTGTTTCTAAATCAAACAGCCCTGAGTGATAACTGGATTTCTGACAGGGGCATAATTCAGTTTGCATGCAATGTTTCTGAAAAAGCAGCAGCAGGTGGAAGGCTAAACACAACTGGGGACATATTTCCATTCTGAATAAGTATGTTAAATGTGAAGCACATGCTGCTTTACCCTCCTATTTACCACGTATGTGAGATGGTTAGTTTCTTCAGATCAACCACCTTTCACTTTGTGTCAACGTAGATTTGGCAACTGGCATTATCTGGTGTATAACATAGTGCCCCAAACAACAATACTTTGCACTTGTGTATAGGACTATTCATCCAGTAATCTGACAGCAATTCAGAGCAGTGAGTAAGTATTATTCCCATTTTACAGATAAGCAGACTTATCTGATATAGACAGGTATAGAGGGGCCAAATCCTTGGTCCCACTCTAGTTGCCTTGCACCACCTGAGTGACACACAACAACTGGAAACTCGGTGCATCTGGCCCCCTCATTATTCCCCCAGGAATCAGGAATTCCCTAGGAATAACAGAGCTACCAGAGACGCTTTATGCCATCCACCCTTGCAGCCAGAGAGGAAGGCTGTGTGGACAGGTTACTTTTGCACGCCATAGACCCCTGGCTGCTGGAATGTCCCCTTCAGGCCACAGGCAAAGGCGCATAAATTAAAGCAACGTGGGTGTTGCTCTAAGTTACACTAGGGGTTGGCTGTACGGCTGGGGAGCAGCAAAAGGAGACTTTAAACCACCTTTGTTTTCCCTCCCCTCTCAGCTGCACTGCATGTATCTTGTCACAACTGAGGATCTAGCCCAAAGATGTAATTGGTTCTGCTGGGTGCTGGACACTTCTGACAATCGGGCCACTGATTTAAGTGCTGAAATATGGATTTAGGAGCCTAACTTTAGGCATTGAAGTCAGACAATCTTAGTCAATATGTCTAAAGCTATCCACTAAAAAACTGAGGTATCTAAAATTAAAGGCCATATTTTAAGAATGTGGCTATTAATCTCTGTGCCTCAGTATACCTACCTGTGAAATAGGAATAATACTTACCCACCTTTAACACATGCTTTGAGCTCTATGAAAAATATTTTATAGATTTAATAATAGGATATTTTATGTAAAAGGACATAAGTGACTGATTAAAAGGGTTCTGAAATAAATATTTACTGCTCCAAAATAGTCTATTCATATTATGAGCTATTAAAATGTTCTTTATTGTGACAAATGGTAAAATTAACAATTCAACATTATGTTTTAAAACATATCATTTCACAGAATGTTTCAGAAGAATAATGGTTCTTGGAATATTGCATATATTATAGGTTTGTAAATAAGTAATAAACCTCGAATTGCCCACATTTTGTCTTTTGTTCCTACTGTCATGCTATATATCATGGTGAACATGGGAGGGAATCTTTTTGGATTCATGGATTATCTACATGTTGTCCCACATTGTTAAAATATCACTAATTTTCTTAAGAGGTGAGTTGTGAGGTGCCAGGGAATGTTTGGTTGGATACATAGCATTATCATGGCAACCAAGGGTAGAGGCTTCCCGTATAGCTGGTATGCCTAATTAGTAAAAACCATTCTGGGGCTGGATTCTGATCTGGGTGGAATTGAGTTGCCTAGCTTCATGAGCTGGGGCTGAACAGCTGAACTTCAGGGTAGAAAGTCTATTTGTCCTAATTTTAGAGTAACGAGTTAAATCACACATTGTGACTTTGATACAATGTAAGGTAGATAATCACTAACGTCAAAAAAGTGACGTGTGATAAAATTTGAATATCAATATGTTATAATGCTGGTAACAGTGGTATTTATGATACTGATGGCATTCAAAAGGTTGATTCACATGAGGACTTTTTTCTGAACTTTTTGGTAAAGTGTTTCTTTGTTACGTTTTTGGTAACAACTTTTGAAAGCCTTCTGCATCTTCTTGTACCCTCTCTTATCTCCTAAAGGGTTAGCACATAATGAGAATTTATAAATACTACAAGACTCATGTTTTGATCTTGCTAAAGAAATCAAAGTATCCCAGCACAAAAGAACCCTCAGTTAACCTCCAATTTTCTTCCTGAATCTTACTACTAACCTACATGTTTTAGGCCTCCAGCAAATCATAATTATGCCAGAAGTTCTCAAAAAAGTCTTAAAAGATCTTTTTATAAAATAAATCCTTACAGGTTGAAAGCCCTTCATTTCTCTATTTACATTAAACAAATTATGTATTTCTAGATATCGTCAAAAAATCTACTATCATGTCTGGTGCTTCAATAAATACATTTTTCTGAGTCAAATGGGCTTCTGGGAACATGTATGATGTTGCCCCTGCCCTGAGCATGCACCAGACATGGTAGTCAGGGGACTAACAGTGCTGAACTTCGGTTTGAGTTTGGCTTTAAATGCGTTTCAATGTATGCTGACTTCAGAACTGTACATTTACTTTTTCACAAAAATAATGCATTTGCTTTTGCTTCCATTCAGGTGCTGATTGCTGTGCTACATTATGGAGATTTTCTAAACCATTGAAATGAAGACCACCAGTTACATTTTTGCACCATTCCCTTAAATATTTGGGTGACACTTCAAATGATGGCAGCAGTGTGTGGACTGTGGTTTTTGCATGATAGTACATAGAAACTCTATTAACCTATTTTATATTACATAAAAAACAAACAAACATATTATGTCATAACTGGTACAATTCAATACTTTGCTTCAAAAGGTTAAATGGTGTCTAACAATCTACACTTGTCCTATTAAACTATGGTACATTTAGTTGCTGTACTAGATAAAGGATAGATGTGTGGACTCATATTTCTCACTCCAAATTTTTGCATGATGTGAACCACATTTTGATTGTCTTATGGACACCCTCTCCTCCCACTAAGACCATGTGATATTCCTGTAGCAACACAAGCTCTTGCTTATATGGAAAAGTAATATGGGGAGTAGTTAGTGTGTTCTCAGCTTCTTTTTTAGGCAATTTAGCATCAGGAAACAAGGAAGAGGAACCAGCACCTGTGATAAGCCAGCTCTCTGAAGACCACCAGCAAGTTCTCCACAGATCACAGTGAAAGACTTACTGGCTTAGTGGTCTGAGCACAGATCTAGGAGCCAAGAACTCCTGGGGGGCCCTATCAGTTGTTTGCATACTGCTTCCATCAATTTCAACAGGAGTTGCATACATGCAGCTGACGTCGTGATGAGACACCTCTCCACCCTTTCAAGTCCTGGTCCTGGCTCCCTTGGTGATGGGGAAGTCTGTACTTCCTGTAGTTACATAAATCATTTCCAATGTCTGACATTGGTCCTGCCTGGAATATGAAGAGGAGGAACTCAGCTTCTCACATTATTTATCACTCAACCATGGTATCAAACTCACTCCCTTGAGGCAAATTTAACATGATGCCATTTTTAAGCAGTTAGAAGCAATACCTTTAGTTCAGGCATGTTAATTATAAGCTGTATAGGTAGTTTAACATCTGGATCCTTGGTGTAGTCCATGGGCACAATGTTCGGTGCCATTTCCTGGTATCGGCCGTGCAACCTACAAACAAGCAAAAAAGAAGTCCTTTAAGTAACTAATTCCATTCCATTCAGTAAACAGGCTCACATTGTTTTGCTGCTCTAGGCCCCATTTACTTTTATTAAAACAAGAGTCTTGCTGCTTGAGTCACAGCATTTAAGGCCAGAAGGGATCAACTAGTCTGACCTCCTGTATATCACAGAGTACACCAACACCACCCAGCACACTAAATCCAACAATAGAAATGAGACCAATGGAAATGAGACCCACAGGAGACTAAACTATCATGTGCCATAGGCAGACAATGGGAGGGACCAAAGTGAACCAGTGCTCGAGGCCCCTACAATGGCAGGGAATTGATTAAATGAGATATACCCAGATAATCCTGTCAAGTGACCTACTCCCACACACTGCAGTGAAAGGCAAAAAAACCCCAAGGTCATGACCAATGTGACCTGGGGGAAAATTCCTTCCTAACCCCACATATGGCGACCAGTTAGACCTTGAGCACGTGAGCAAGAACTAGCCAACCAAGCACCTGATAGAGAGAAAGCTTCATGTCACCGCAGAGCCCTAGCCCACCCTGCCTATCTCCAGCTACTACCATCCCAGATGCGTCAGAGGAAGGAGATAAAAAACCTCCCAGAATACACTGAAGGGGGAGGGTGAATCCTTTCCTAATTCCTGCCAGTGGCTGGCTCAAGCCGTGAAGCATGAGCTTTAGAAACATAGGATACAAACCAAAAGTGAGCCCCATGGCTGTTGAGCCCTGCCACGCACCATCACAAGCAACCCGTCACAGTTGCACTCAAATTTGTCCAGCTCTCTCTCAAAACTAACTAAGTTGTTTGACCCACAACTCCTGTGAGAAGGCTGTTCCAGAACCTCACTCCTATGATGGTTAGAAATTATTCTTCTAATTTCCAGCCTGAATATGTTTATGGCCTCTGACACTTCCAACTGATGAGCCCTCAGAAATTGTAGCAGAAATTCTTATTATTAGACCCTAAATGGATGACCTTGCACTTTGTACTTCTGAATTTCCACCCATTGCTGTCAGTCCAGTCTTCAAGTTCATCCAAATCTTCCCGTATAATACTCCAATCCACCTCTGTATGGACGATGCTTCCCAACTTTGCATCAGCAGCAAATTTCATTAGCACACTCCTACTTCTTCAGCCAAGGTCATTAATAAAAATACTGAATAAGATTGTTCCCAAGACTGATCCTTAAGGAATTCTACTTGTAATCTCTCTCCCATACAATAATTTACCTTTCAGCACAGCCTGTTGTTTTCTTCTCTTTAGCCAATTCCTTATCCACCTTACAGTGTTTGTACTGACCGCACCTTCCCTAATTGAATTACATTAATTAAATTGAATTAAAACTGTGCCGAATGCTTTACTGAAGTCCAAATATATTAGATCTACTGAACTTCCCTTATCAAAAAAACCATTTATTTTCCTCAAAGAGGGAAATCAGATTAGTCTGGCTTTATCTACCTTTGGTAAACCCAAAATGTTGCAATACATCCCCTTTATTGTTTAGATCTATGAATTTAATTATTTTTGCTTTCATAATTTTCTCTAAACCTTTGCATACTACTGAGAAAAAAAAAGAGAGCTTGATCCAGTACCTGACATGCAAACGGCAAGTAATGTCCATTAGACCCCTATCAGGGTGCAAAGCAGGAGTGGCATTCATAGGTGTCAGGATACAATAAGCTAGGTATGGAACTGGTGAGTCCGTGGGTGGGTCAGACCCAGTCTATATAATATGTCCACACAGCAAATGTGGCCCATGGCCATTCATTAGATGCATTTGCTGTGCAGCTACACAAGAACAGGATCAGCTAGGGTATGTCTATGCAATTGATATGCAGTGATGCAAGAACAGAGTTATCTGGAATATGTCTAGATTGCTTCTGGGAGCAAGACTCCCAGCCCAGCTCCACAGACTTATGCTAGCAGGGCTCATGCTAGCACACTAAAAATAGCTGTGTAGATGTTGTAGCTAGGGGCTGGAGCTTGGGCTGTCAAGCCTGAGGCTGGGGTGTTTCAGCCTGAGCTGCAACACCAAAGCAATGTCTACACAGCTATTGTTAGCATCCTAGTGCGAGACCTCCTAACTCTAGTCCGTGGATCCAAGCTGGGAGGCTTGCCCCGGGTGTAGCATAGACATACCCCTCGAGGGCCAATGACCTGGGCAAAAAGGTGTTTAAAAGACAAAGGATACATGACTGTGCTCGTGGTCACCCCAGTGGACAATAGCATCCTTGGTTGGGCCATGGATACATAAACCAAGCTCCCTTTTCTACCTGCACACCCTTCACTGAGGAGATTTTGACCCACTAGTGTAGCAATGAATTATACCAGTCTGCAAAGGATACTTCTATCTCACGCACTCCACATGACTATTTTGCCCACCACTGCCACAGTTGATCAATCAAACTAGTGTGTTGAAATGCGATAGACCACTACCAGGTTTTTCCCCATAGAGAAGCAAACCAGGAGCTTCCTAAACCCAGTTTCACTCTATAAACACAGCCTATGATGCCAATAATAACAAAATGAAATAAAATAATAAATAAATAAAAATAATACTAAAATAATAAAATAAAATAATAATGATACATAATAATGTTGTTTAGGGAGGGAACTGGGAGCAGGGGAGGCAGAGGCTTTTTGTATTCACTAAATCCTTAGGTACTGATGTAAGTTTAGATCTTTCATTAAAGCATTACAGCAAATTCCGAACACTGATATGGAGATGCCGTGGCAGTGCTATGGCTCAGTTCTTCGCTCAGAGCTGTCCCCACGTGAGTTGGGCAAAACTGCACAAATATTGGTTCTAAATGAAGTCGCTTCCAATGTGCTTGCACCCCAACTGTTTCCTTTCATGGCAAATATTCCAGTGAATGAGTTTATGGGTGGCAGCATTTGCAGAAACAGCCAGTTTTAAAGAAAACATTGAAGAACATTAGCAGGAAACAAACTTTTGAATTTGCAAACATGAGTCTTTGCTTCAGTAAACTGATTCTAACAGAACCATCCCATGTGAACAGTGGCCCAGATCCACAAAGGTATTTAAGCTCCTAACTTCCACTGATTTCAAGGAGCCTAAATACCTTGTGCCCAATCAAATCTAACTGAGCTCAGATTCTGGGCATTATATACTCACAATGAACTGCTCTCAAACAACCTGCAGACCAAACATTATTTGCAAAAATTGTCTGGTGACTAATTTTAAAGAATACCACATCTAAGAAAAAATCATTAGCTCTCTGCAGACAATTCACACATAGGGAAAGAGGTGAAATTCTAACACACTATTTGCTATAAATTGTTCGCTCAGTGATAATGGCTGCCCTGACCATCTGTGTGTCAGAGATCCAGTCACAAGACAGAAAGCAAAAAAGAAGCAAATACCAGAGAAGGCACTTGTCAGTATCCCAGTATCCAGCTGTGATAGTTCAGAGGAGCCCTGGTCTCACACCACTGCTGCACCTTATTATTTGTATTGCAGTAGTACCAAGGAGCCCCACTCTGGGATCAGGCTCCCCTATACTAGGTGCTGTACACATAGTGCCTGTCCCAAAGAGCTTACAGATTAATGACGATGAGATACAACAGGTGGATACAAACACACACGGGGGAACAAAGAGTCAGTTATAATTAGTGTAATAAGCAGTGGGCACAGTGCACCACCTGCCTTAATCATTGTCAGCAGCATGCCATAAATGGGTTTTAAGGACAGGTTTAGAGGAGGATAACATAGTCGCTTTGCCACTGACATTGATTTGCTATATGTTCTAGTGAGATAAGGAAACTTAACCTTGGGCTGTACTGGAAAATACAGCCAGGTTGCTCAGCAGTTGCTGTCACTGAGAGCATGTATTCACTTAACAATGCCAAAGGCTCTTTACTGTTGACCTGCCGTCTGATCCTGCAACACCCTCACTCACAGCCTCAGACTGGATGATCACAATGGTCCCTTCTGGCCTTGGAATCTATGAATAGGTAGCTCCACTAAGTTTAATGGCATTACACACCTGAGTAAGGACTAGTCTCATGGGAAGATAAGGACAATTTTCATTCTCTTTGCAGGATTTGGCCCCCAGTTTGGATCAGTATCAATGATCTACAAGTGAAAGATTGCATTACAGTACCAATTCCCTATGCCATCTAGTCGAGTGCCCCTTGAAATGATTTTATACAGCTATTTGTGCCTAAATATTTTATATCACCTAGCTATACAGCAAGAAATATCTGAAGGGTCTCATAAAGGCTGATCTGCATCAGCATTATAATTTGTCAGCTGTTTCTCTGCAATTCTCCTCAGCTGCATTCAGTGCATTTCACAGAGAAGCTGTGTCAAGCTGTGATGTGCTCTTTAGTGTCATATGTAGGCCAGACTGTTTTACAAAGGCTTCCAAGAGCAAAATGTTAAGAGAAGTTAATGTCCCCACAGCTATCAAACACAGTTAACCACTTCTAGAGCCCTTAAAAATCTCATTTATGCTTCCAAGATTCCATGTGTAATGTTTTGGCTAAAGTCATTTTTTATGCATTTAGTAGAAAAATGAAAGTCATATTTTTCCTTTATAGGTTCAATTTATTGGAAGGTTTCTATAGGATGTTCTTAGTACTATATGACAGTATGATATAGCCTATCTATGTACATTTACAGATGTAATTTCATCAAGGGAATCTAGGCACATGATATACGAAGCATTTATAAACCACTGCCTGATTAGCTTGCTGATAATCACCAAACCCCAGAGGACAGAATTATACATCTTGGCTCGGAGCCTTGGCTATGGCTAAGGATCACACAATGCACCTCAGGGGGGATATTGCAAAGACGCCTGACCTGTCTATGCATCTCTGCTCGCTGGGTGTAACACAGAACAGCCTAAGCTGCTCTAAATTACATTGGCTGTCAAAAGGCACAAGGGCCTGATACAGCAACCAAAGTTTGCTGGAGGATAAGGAAGCTCCAGCCATGTCCCCTTTCTCCTT